TGATCACGTGACCGCGGGGAGGTTGCAACCAATGGTGGGATTGGAATAACAACCGATTATCTGGGTGTGGCTGGCTAGTCATGTGACTGGGTGGGTGATGTCACCGATCACACCCAGCCCCGCCTCCCAGCCACTCGCCTCAAAGGCAGAGGTAGGATTCAGCTGGTTGGCCCTGCCCCCGCCTGTTTTTTGGCCTGTTTTTTGCAAACAGCCCCAAAAATGGCCTGAAAATGTCACGAAAATTCACCTGAAAACACCCCCAAAATGACCAAAAATGCCCTGAAAACACCCCAAAAAATGCCCCCCCAAATGGCCTGAAAATGGCATGAGAATGGCCTGAAAATGCCCCCCAAAATGCCCAAAAACAGCCTGAAAACACCCCCCAAAAAATGACCAAAAACACCCTGAAAACATTCCAAAAAACACCCCAAAATACCTGAAAATGGACCGAATATGGCCTGAAAAATGGCCTGAAAATGCCGCAAAAATGGCCTGAAAACACCCCCAAATATGACTAAAAACAGCCTGAAAACACCCCCCAAATTCCCCAAAATACCTGAAAATGGCCTGAAAAATGAACTGAAAACATCACGAAAAATGGCCTGCAAACACCCCCCAAAAACAACCAAAACAGCCTGAAAATACCTCAAATTATGCCCCAAAACACCTGGAAAATGGCTTGAAAATGGCCCAAATTGGCCCCAAAAATGGTCCAGAAAACAGCCAGGAAAACATGCTGAAAAACAAGTGGGGGTGAGGCCAGCCTGTGGTGGGATTTGCCGGTTCACCGAACTGCACAGAATGTTAACAACCGGTTCTCCTGAACCGGTGCGAACCGGCAGCTGCCCACCCCTGATTACGATGGTCATTAAGTGTAAAAAATGATATTAGGTTCCTTTTTTCAGGGCCGTTGTAAGAACGACTTGTACTTTGGCCTGAAAACGTTTGACTTTTGCAAAGTGAAAAACTGCCAAATGCCTCTCAGATTCCCCCTTTGGGCTGCATTCACACAACTCCTGAAATATCCCGGTTGAGCAAACACGGTGGATCCATCCCAGGCCTTAAAAAAAGCAAACCGTATGAAAGCAAAATATAATTTTCTGGCTCGCACAGCCTGTGGGAACTGTTGCCCCCCCCCCTTCCCAACACACACACACACACATATATACACACATCCTGGGCTTGTGTGTTGTGTGAACGCAGCCCAGCGTTGGAGAACATCTGCTCATTTTGGAAGACAAACCCTGGTGCTCCGGATGGCTGGGTTGGTTCCAGACTCAAGAGGCTCAGCAGAGAAAGGTCAAAGGCGCTGTGGAGATGGATTTCTTTGTGTTTTTTTTTTTTAAATGGGTTTTGGAAAAATTCCCAGCTTCCCAAAAGCTCCCGCGTTTTGCTGATGCCCTGAATTGCTTTCGGAAGCGCTAAATGGAGAAGGAGCCAAGAAACCAGCGCGGTTTTTCTCCCCCCCAACCCTTCCTTGGAAGATGCGGTGTGGCTCAGCTGCCGCTGCTCAGAAATGGAAAATAATATTATATTACAGGGCAGGAGGGGGAAGGAACCCTCCCCCTTCCTTTCATCCCAGAACAGCATCGCGAAACAGAATAACAAGGGTCGGGAGGGATCTCGGAGGTCTTCTAGTCCAACCCGCTGCTCAAGCAGGAGACCCTGACAGAATTACAGAATAACACAGGGGAAAACACACGCTGTGTTGACCACAAAGCAACTGGATAGTGTGTGAGGTGGTGGCAGGGTGTGTACGACAATGGAGAATCCAGTGTGTATCAGCCAACAAGAAGCTGAAGGTCCCACACTTATGGTGCAGGGTGCTAAATTGGGAGAGTTTAGCTGGAAACTGGGAGATGGTGA